TCTACACCAGTTCTCACAAAGCCAACAACAGGTGAGGGAACAGAAAATACCTCTTCCACCTGCAAACCCAGTTCAGTTGTCCACTGTTCCACAAGAACATTCTCTCCAGCCGCGTCAGCATTATTCAATACCAGAAACGCACCATGGACAGCCGTGTGTGTATCCTTCTCCTCAGCAGCATCCCATGTCCATCAATTATGCAACTCAGCCGTCAAGTTTTGCAGCACCGCAGTATTATCCCCAGCAGTATATGGTGCCACCACAACAGCACCCTCATCAGTTCCGCCAGCCCCGTCCCTCACAAGCCAGACAATGTTTCCATTGCCAGCAGTGCAAAGCAGAAGAACCTTGCAACCATTGTTACCACTGTGGCAGCAGCGAGCACTTCTCAGCTGGCTGTAGGAGCAAAGGTGCCAGACCTCAGATAGGAGCTCCGTTAAACAGGAGTGGGTTGCCCCCAAGGGACAGGGTGTGATCCGAGAAGTAGGGAAGTCCCAAAAACATGAGAAATGTAGCATGGGTCATCAGAGACAGCTTGAGTCCCAGTCACTTGATAGTATTTTAACTGCCCCTTGTCAAGTTAACCAGCATTCTGCCGTCACGTCCTTAGTGGGCAAACAATGCCTTGTGAAAAAGACAGAAGTATTATGGGACACAGGCTCCCAAGTATGCATTATAGATGAGCAGTGGAAAGCCACATGCACACCTGAGGTGACAATGAGAAACATTTCTGAGGCAACAGAAGCGCCAGACAGTCTGCGTCTGGTGGCAGCCAATGGAACAAACATGCCATACAGTGGATGGGTGGAATTGACCTTCAAGCTGGCATCCCCTGTAACCAATGAGAAAGAGTTAAAAATTCCTGTGCTTGTCTTGAAGAACCAAGAATGATCCAGACCTATAATTGGGTATAACGTGATAGAACAAATAATGAGACGGAATGAAACAAATGGATCTCATGATGTGACTTATGCGTGTTTGTACAGAACTGTCAGGAATGCTTTCCCTAGCATAAAGAAGAAAAGTGTACATACCTTCATCAGTTTGGTGACTGCAGAGGGCCTCAGCGAGTACATATTAAGAACCATGTAGGAGCCTGTAAAAATACGGAAGCACACCGTTATGCAAATTCAGTGTCTGGCAAAAGTGCCTCACGTGAAACAGGACAGTGTGCAACTGTTTGAACCACCTGTTTATCCACTGTACCCTGATGGCCTTGAACGTTTTGATACTCTCCTCATTCTGAAAAGGGGGGCCTTGGAACAGTGTGCAGAATGAAACAGACCATGACATCATGCTCAGCAGTAGAACCGAGCTAGGAACTTTGCAGCCAGTTAAGTCTGTCTTACCAATGGCAAATCCACAGTCTGCAGCCACAGCCTCTGTCACTCAGGTTTTACCAGAAACAATGGAATGAGATGGCAACAGAGATTCATGGGACCCTCCAGTTGATGTGAGCCATTTAACTCTGCCCCAACAACAACAAGTGAAGCAGATGTTGCGTGAAGAATGTTAATGTCATTAAATGATAACACCCCTGTTGCCTGCACATACACATCAGTCCCTAAACCATTATAACAGGAAATGAAGGACTACTTACACGATCTGATTGCTCAAGGATGGGTGGCCAAGTCTCATTCCCATTACTCGTCCCCAATTGTCTGCGTCCATAAAAAGGATGGCAGTCTCAGGCTGTGTATTGACTATAGGGACCTGAACAGCAAAACAATCCCTGATCGCCAGCCAATACCCAGGGTGCAGGATATCCTAGACGGCCTGGGGGGCAATGCGTGGTTCTTTCTGCTTGACCAGGGAAAGGTGTACCATCAAGGCTTCATGTCCCCAGAGAGTAGGTACCTGACTGCATTCACAACACCGTGGGGCCTCTATGAATGGATCCATATCCCTTTCGGCCTCATGAATGCGCCTGCAGCGTTCCAACGGTTTATGGAGGAAAGCCTGGAAGGTTTGAGGGACAAAATATGGATACCCTATTTAGATGACATCCTGGTCTTTACTGATTCCTTCGACGAGCAGGTGGAAGCAGTAAGGAGAATGCTGCAAAGGTTGCAGTCCCACGGAGTCAAGTTAAAACTGAGAAAATGTGAGCTCTTTAAGAAGGAGGTGCGCTATCTGGGCAGAATTGTCTCAGCTGAAGGCAGTCGTATTGATCCCGTGGACACAGTTGCTGTAACGGCACTTAAAGAACAGACACCAAGCATGGTGGGAGAGCTACGCAAGATTCTGGGCCTGCTCAACTTCTCCCGGATCGCCAGTCCCCTCTACTACTTGCTAAAAGGTAACACTGACGGTGATGAGTCACAGAGAAAAGGAAAACACAAAGTAAGAAACAACAAACGGAATCATGTGGTGCCATCAAGTAAATCAATTGAGTGGACAGAACACCATCAGGAGATCCTTGAAAAGTTGATTAACTGCTTGATTCAGCCTCTGATCTTAGGATTTCCAGACTTGTCCCAACCGTTCATCCTCCATATAGACGCATCCAACCAAGGGTTGGGAGCCGTTCTATACCAGAATCAGAATGGCAAGCTGAGGGTAATTGCCTATGGCTCCCGGACCTTGACAGCGGCAGATAAAAATGATCATCTGCACAGTGGGAAGCTGGAGTACTTAGCTCTGAAATCTGTATTATGCACCAACCTTTACAGTGTTTAGTGACAATAACCCATTGACCTATGTTCTGACCTCTGCAAAGTTGAACACCACCGGGTGCAGATGGGTGTCAGAGCTCGCAGACTTCCATTTTACCATCCGCTACCGTCCAGGTAAAGAAAACATATATGCGGACTCACTCTCCAGGATGCCAGCGGATCTGGAAACGACAATGAGCGAATGTACTAAGGAGTTCTCATCTAACTGCATGGGAGTTGTAATTCAAGCAGTAGAGCTCCAGAATAATCCAGATGTGTCCCTTGCTGTAGCCTGTCAGAGTGTACTAACATGTGTGGAGGAAAATGAGGGACTCCTCATACCCCTGTCAAAAGAAGAAATCAAAACAAAGACAAGCACAAAAGGATGACAAGGACATTAGAGTAATCCTTGAACACTTACAAACAGGATCTAGGCCTCCTCAGCAGTGGCGTTCGGTCAACTTGTTATCCAAAGTTCTTCTGAGAGAATGGGATAAGCTGAAGCTGGATGAACATGGCATTCTGTTCCGCCACACATCTCAAAGGGCACAGCTGGTATTACCAACTCAATTCAAAAGAACTGTTCTAAGGAAAATGCATGATGAGATGGGTCATCAGGTCATCGACCGCACCACAAGCCTCATTAGGGATCGGTTCTTCTGGCCCTACATGCAGAAAGACATTGAAAACTATGTCCTGAGAACCTGCTCCTGCATCAAACAAAAAAAAAACATGCCGTGAGAAAAGAGCGCCCTTTAAAAGTATCAAAATGACCCACCCTTTCGAATTGGTGTCCATTGACTTTCTTCATCTGGACAAATGCAAGCGGGGCTACGAGTACATTTTGGTAATCGTTGACCACTTCATCCGATTTGCACAGGCCTATGCCACAACCTCAAAATCATCAAAAACAGTGGCTGACCAGTTATTCAACGATTTCGTCCTCAAGTTTGGGTTTCCGTCCAGGATTCACCACGACCAAGGGGGAGAATTAAAAAATAAGCTATTCACCCAACTCAGAAAGTACAGTGATGTCGCTGGCTCAAGGACCACCCCCAGAGGAATGGGCAGGTGGAAAGATTTAACCGGACATTACTGCAGATGCTGAAAACCCTGACTGAAAAACAAAAATCGAATTTGAAGGATGCACTCAACAAATTAATCTTTGCCTACAACTGTACTAAACGTGACGTGACTGGCTTCTCACTCTTCCACCTGCTGTTCGGCTGCGCACCAAGGCTGCCCATCGATGCTCTCTTCGGACTCAACTCAGACAATAACTCAGACAATAACTCTCAAAGTTATAGTGAGTACATGGAACAATGGATGAAAGGGATGCAGGAAGCTTGTGAGATAGTGAGAGAACAGGCAAACAGGTATGCTGGAAGAAACAAAAGAAATTACGATCAAAGAGTGAGGTGTACTGACCTGTTCCCAGAAAGCAGGGTCCTCATGAAAAACTTGACTCCAAGAGGTGGGACCGGGAAACTGCGGAATTACTGGGAAGATGAAGTTCACATTGTCACACGCCAGGTAGCAAATGATGCACCAAAATACAAAGTAAAACCGGAGCAGAGTAAAGGTAGATCAAGAGTTTTACATCGTAATCTTCTTCTTCCATGTGACCATCTACCTCTTAAAATCACACCTACTCGAAGTACCAAACCAAAGCAAGAACATCAACCAAGAAGCAGCAGAACTCAGCCCACCAGGGGAAGAGAATGTGAGCCAGAGTGTGATAATGAAAGCGAAGAGGATGAGTACTACTTCCAAGTGGAGCCTTATCGGATAAGACCACAAGAAAGCGGTGATTCCCTAGAAAAAAAGGATATGTTACCACCACAGTCAGTACCTTCTGAGCCTCGATCTAGCTCTCCAGTGTCGGAACCAAGGCCACAGTCACCTCCTGCCGAATTAGAGATAGATCTTCCAGAGCCTGCCTCTGCACCTGCAATAAGACAAGAACTTCATGAAAACGAACCAACTGTTGACCCAGTGCAACAAGACTTACCTGTTAACGAAACAACTGAAGTGCTTGGGTCCAGGGACAGGACCTCAGAGGAGAAAAACGGGTACCAATTCACCAGGAGAAAGCGACGGTCACCAAAAAAGTTTACATATGAAAATCCTGGGACCTCATCGTGCTACAATGTGCAGATAGTGGGCAATAACCACTACCCACACTTTGCATCTAGCGGAATGACAGCTTTGACACCCTGGTTATCAACACCACTTTGTTACCCCCAGCCCTCATATGTGTGCTATTAACTGTGAATTGCTACCACATGAACTTTACTCCCATAACTAGTCACTGTATGGCCTGTGTTGAAGGTATGAAAGGCCACTATACAACACATTACCCAGAGACTGTTTATTGCCCATAGTGAGAAACTATTGCAAAACAAACACTATGGACTGTTATCAGATATTAACAAAATGGACTGTTGTGCGGTCTTGAAATTGTGGACACTTTGAATCACTTTAAGAATGTCTTTTTGACACTTTTTAAGTCTTTTTCCTCTTCAAAGAACTTTCTGCCATTTTTTGCTGGAGCAAATGAATGGACGTTTTTTTCCCTTAAAGAGACTTGTTGGTGGTTTAAAACAATTTTTTTTTACACTATCTCATGGGACTATGTACAACCAAGTGCCTCTTGTCTGTTGACTAATAAGGACTCTTGTATGGGAAATTAGCAATATCACCATTGTGAATGTATGTTTGTTGCAGAAATACTGAAATTAAAAAAGAGCAACAAAAAAAAATTTACAAGGAAAATGTTGAAAACAGTGCTGTAATATCTGATGTTAGAGATAACTGCTGGGTAAAGTTAAAAGTTTAAATACTGTAAATTGAGTATTACTGTGACTAAGCAATTTGATGTTGGGACGACATCTTTATTTTGAGGGGGAGAGTGTGGTATACTGAATAATTCTCATAATTATAATCATTATCAGTTTATTCTTCCTATATGTATATATTTCTTGTGATATGTTTCATAATTACCACTATTTATTTTCTTAGGTATTTCTCTGATTTACATGTGTTTCTCCTTTAAGGGATTATTTACAGATTTATACTAGATTTCTATAATCATTATAATTACTGTGTTAATCAAAATACATGTTACAACTATTTTGGGATTATAGTTATTGCTTCAAATTAATATGTTATATTATAGCTGGAGATGGATGTGTGTGATTGGTTGAAAAGAAATGTGAGCACCATTGCGTGCGTTTGTA